AAGAGCAGAATTGTTTATTTCTAATAGGAGGCCATTGGGACCTTCACCAATAGGAGAACTGCTGTAATGTCAGAGTTAATGAGAACGCAGCAATAGCATCAGGTTATGCAGAAATGAAGCAGCAGAGGCTGAAAATTAGCTGCCATAGTGTGAGAAATGAGAACCAGACTCGGTACAGTGCTCAGGGCTACAAGATTCTTCTTCTGCAGACTCCTTTCTCCATCATGCAATCAAAGACTATTATGGGATGTTTCAGGGCTGATTTTTAAATCTGTAAATGACAACTTTAAAAATTGTATGAGTGCTGCAAAATAATGCAGTAGAGCCATAGATTTACTTCCTGGTGTTTCTTTGCTCTTTATGTTTGTTTTAAAGGCTGATTTGATTTCACGTTTGAATGCAAACTAATTGTCTCTGTAATATTGCTTGGAAAAGCTGTTAATTTTAACGTGTGTGTGTGTGTGTGTGTGTGTGTGTGTGTGTGTGTGTGTGTGTGTGTGTGTGTGTGTGTGTGTGTGTGTGTGTGTGTGTGTGTGTGTGTGTGTGTGTGTGTGTGTGTGTGTGTGTGTGTGTGGACCTTTGGGGCTTCTGTAGTGCTATATAACCTAATTTTAGCTCAGGAGTGTCAATAAAGTCAGGCTGTTGGGTTAAATAACTATTTTTAATGTCTTTCAGAGCTCACTTAAGCCTTGCTGCATTATTTCCTCATAATCTACTTCCAACCCTTTTTTACACACACAGTCTGCCAGGAGTGTATTGAAAGGCAAATTCTTCATCTCTCTCGGGATTTTGTAACGCTGGAATCAATATCTGCAAAACAATGTTAGACCCAATTTATCTCTTTAAAGCAGGGTCTGGTTATTAGAACAGGGCACTGATGGGTATCGATATTCTTATTGAGTCATTTAGGATTCAGTTTGAAGGTTTTCTGAAAGGCTTGCTTCTAAACACGTAAGCACTTTGTTGTGTTTCGGCAGACTTAGTGCTCTGTAGGATGACTGCCTCATTATTAAAGAATTGGAGAGACGTGATTTTAAACTAAATGATGAGGTGCACACACACACACTTGCACAAAAATCATGATGGCATGATGTGTACGATTTTTGCAATGGTTATCCGCACCACTTAAGTAAGTATGCAAGTGAGTAAATATTATTTATATAGCACTTATCACAGACGTAGAATCACAAAGTGCTTCACATAGATCAAAGCAAAATAAAACATAAAGTCATCTAATCATAATGATCTCTAAACAGAAACAGATGAACAGCAGAAAAAATAAAGTCAGGAAATTATCTAATTTTATAAACAAATGAAAAATTATTCAAATTTTGAGTTAAAAATAAGATAACAAAACATTTATGTTAAAGTAGCTTTAGATAAAAGGGTCTTTAGCTGTTGTTTAGAGATGTCCAGACTGTCAATACTACGTAAGGATAAAGGGAGATCATTCCAAATTGGGGGTGCAGCAGTCTGTAAGGAGTGATCGCCTCGACTTTTAAATCTAGTCTTTGGAACTTCTTGAAGGTTCAATTCAATCCAAGTTTATTTATATAGCGCCAAATCACGACAAGAGTTGTCTCAAGGCACTTCACATAATAAACATTCCAATCCAGGTCAGTTCATTAAGCCAATCAGAAAAAATGTTTCTATATAAGGAACCCAGCAAATTCCATTGAGTCACTGACTAGTGTCAGTGACTTTACAGCAATCCTCATACTAAGCAAGCATTTAGCGACAGTGGAGAGGAAAACTCCCTTTTAACAGGAAGAAATCTCCAGAGGATCCTGGCTCAGTATAAGCAGCCATCCTCCACGACTCACTGGGGATCGAGAAGACAGAGCAGGCACACACACACACACACACACACACACACACACACACACACACACACACACACACACACACACACACACGTGCACACACACGTGCACACACACACACACACACACACACACGTGCACACACACACGTGCACACACACACACACACACACACACACACACACGTGCACACACGTGCACACGCACACACACACTTTCAATTAAGCAAAATTATGTTTTATCGGTTTGCTTTTTTGCAGACATGATGCTAACATGCACCTGGATGTTTACTTGAATTAAATTCAGTTTATTTAAATAGCCCCAAATCACAACAAGAGTTGTCTCAAGGCACTTCAGAGTAAACAATTAAACCTACTAATCAGTTCATTAACTTCAGTTCATTATGCCAATTAATTAAGTTTCCTATGACCCAGCACATTTCATGGAGTCACTCTGTGTTTACATGCACATCCGAAAACCGAACAATTGCCCCAAATAGACTGACATTATTTTTTTTTAATGCATGTAAATGTGTTAGTCTTGCTGAAGGCAAACTGTTTCTAATCATGCTGAAGCACCCAGATAATGCGGTAGGAACCCGACTGCATCTGCGTGTGAACGGCTCAGTTGAGCTGATACCGGTAACTTCTGGAAGTGACGAGGCCGCAGAAGCAATCTTCTGATAATGTTTGTGCTACAAACGAACACCATCAAACAGTACAGTACTAAGCTGTGCTGTAGCGTTGTTGTTGTCCATTCCTTTGTGCATGTCCCCTTTTGTCTGCTTCACTCCTGCCAGCATTTGTTTACGATTTGTGTTGCTATAAGAATTTTGTTAGTATTTCTTTAGCAGCAGAATTATTTAGCACCCATGCTTTGTTAGAAATGCTTACTTGTCTTTCTGCCTCTCTGTGCTAGTCTATACTAGTACCCTGGTGGCCTTCTAACTTACTTTTGCAGTTATTATTAGCTTCATCTCTGAGCCAGTAGTGAAACATGACACAAGTGTCCATGGAAGTGATGCCTAATGGGGAGAAGAAATGGTGAATGAGCCTGGTGGAATAAAATATGCCAAAGAAAGACTGAGTAAAGACGTATGCTGTTGTGGATCTCACAGTGCATCTGGGGTCATACTGTGGCTTGCAAATGGGCTCCACAATTAGAGCCAGTGTGGTGCTGACCTGAGGGCTGCAGCCTGAGATGCAAATCCAAAGAGACAACCTTGTCAAAGCGCCTCACACTTAGAGCTTTCCAGAAGAAGCTGCATGTTTTCAGTATGTTGTGTTGCACAAATTACATGATCCAATAACATCGGTTTCTTAATGCATGAACTACTTCTGTGATGGGCAGAAAAAAAAATGCAGAAAACAAAATGGTAGAGACTATGGGCCTTAATAGAAAACAATAGGATAATGTTTGATTTTATGGTTTTCTGCATGTAAGAAATGTAAATAAAAACATCCAGTCAGGTTTTAAAGCAGGGGTGTCAAACTCAAATTCCTACTGGGCCGAAATGAAAAACTGGGACGAAGTCTCGGGCCAAACTCAATATTTTTTAAAAAGTGACAGCAATGTGCACATTTTCCTTTATCTACAGATATGAACCTTTTCATTTGTAAACAACCTTATTTTTGCAGTAACACTGAATCTGGAATAAGCAAATTACACACGAGCAAGTCGATTTTAAATAAAGCACATCAGTGGTATTCGTTACTTATTATGTCTCAATCCTTAAATATTTGTATTCCTTAAAATGTGTATACATTCAGAATTTCTTTTTATTTTTTAATCTTTTGAATCTTTAAGTATTTCTATTTTAAATTTTCTTCCATGCTGTAGTTCTTTTTTAAAACACAGAGCAGTTTTGTTTACTTGTTTTCCCGCTACGTTTCATTTGTGACTGCAAACTTCCTCAGGATAAGCGTCAGCCTGAGGAAGTTTGCAGCCGCAAACGAAACATAGCGGGAAAACAGGTAAACAAAACTGCTCTGTGTTTTAAAAAAGAACTACAGCATGGAATTAGAGATACGACACAGCAAGAACACACCTAAGATGTTTAAATTTTCTTGTTTATTCATATTTTTTATTCTCTTTTGTTGCTCCTTTAATGAATGTTATTGCTGATGTGAGACCAAGCTTTCCCCACTGAGGGATAATAAAGGAATTTTCTATTTATTTCTATTCTATTCTTCTATCTGTAATGATTCCAGCTCTTGTTTTAAAGTAGGTGAAATATTTTTTCACAGGCCAACAACAAAAATAAATAAAAGTGATTCTCTTACATGAACATTTTATCTCACCTATTACCTTTCAAGCTTTGAAGCAGAAAAAGTGCATAAAATCAAAATAATGCAAGCTCAGTTTGCTCCAGTCTACTTCACCGTGATGCTCACCTGTTCCAGCCAGAAACACCTGCATCTCTGGGGTTGGCTCTGAGCTGAGAAAGGAGTTCATCAGTGAGACTTTTGTGTTGTCTAGTTCATCTTCATCACAAACAACAGTTGCTCACATCAGTCTGAGCAGCTGGACCATGCAGTTCTGTCAGTGTGGAAAGATAAACACTGCAGCAGCCACAGAGTCATACTGACTTGAGAGTGTCTAATCATCTTGGTCTGGAAGGTCGGTGTGCTTTCTGTCAGCAGCAAACAGATTACTGAGCGGTTAAAATCCATTTCTGGGTTTCAAAGTGGGCTAATTTCTGAGTAAACTCGCTGAGTAAGAGGAGTGTTCTCATTTTCTCCGATGTGGAGGACGGTGCCGCTGCAGACGCTGCTGCTAGTAGCATGGGCGCTAATGACTGTAAAGACACTGGTTTTTCTCCTTGAAGCATCAACATGTTCCATCTTTGTTGAAACACCTTCCTTCTGCATGCATTATGGGAAATGTAGTTTATAGTCAATGTATGCTTTGAAGCGGCATAGACCTTTTTAAGACACTTGAAGCTCTCGCGGGCCACATAAAATGATGCGGCGGGCCACATCTGGCCCGCTGGCCTTGTGTCTAACACATGTGTTTTAAAGGGTGAATTATCTTCATTTCTGACTAAATAACAATATCCATCAAGTAGTTTGTCATCTTCTGTTTATTTTTTCTGAAAGTTTATTTATCTGTAAAGTCCTGGTATATTTGTTTATCCTGAACATGTTTGTGTAACCTTTGATTTTCTTATCCACCCAGGGCATCAGCATTGTTGGGCCCAGTAATGCTGAGTCACTGTCTCAACCTCCTGGTCCCGCCATGTATCAGCTGGATATCGTCTTAAAGAAAGGGAAAAGCCTTGCCATTCGAGATCGAACAGGTAGGAAACGTGTTTGGTTTTCTTTTTTCCACCTTTGTTTTGAGGTTAATATGGAGAGACAGAGTCGAGAGCTTTTCCCAACTCTAATCTACCCAGCCAAATGAAAAGGACTAGCTTTGTATCTCGTCGGGCTCTAAGATGCATCCTTGCATTCCCGTTTTAATGCAAAACGCTGGGTGATGCTCGTTAAGAAACAGATTTTATACCAAGTTTGAAGGTTTTCCATATTCATGTAGTATCAATTCGAAAATAAAGTCATTCTAACGGTATTGCTGTAGTTCTAAGTCCAATCCTTTTTTATTTAATGGCTATTTTAAACATCTGGTTCAGGGATTTTTTTTGTCCTCTATAATACTTTTTTCCATTTTTCCTCTTCAAGCTGCATTATGAGACTATAGTTGTTAAACTTTGCAGCTTTATCCTCTCCTTCCGTTAGTTGGCAGTCACTCCTGAATCATAGTAGGATGCTTTCAGTTAAGCTAAAAGCAAAAAGTCTTTTCTCTTTGTTGTGTTTTAATCAGAGGCGGTTCTAGATGGGGTCCAGGTTGGGCAAGTGCCACCCTGACCCCCCTGTGCTCCCTTCCCTGCTGAGGGCAGAGCCTGGGTAGCAATTAGTACAGATTTTTTTTGGTGATTATTTGACCTAATACAAAATGTGGACACAAACATGTGAATGCATTTATCTGACCTCAACTGACTCCTTTCGATCCAGAGGAGCAGCGGTTCTACTCCGAGTCCTTCCCGAATGTCCGAGCTCCTCACCCTATCTCTAAGGCTAAGCCCGGCCACCCTACGGAGGAAACTCATTTTGGCCGCTTGTATCCGCGATCTCGTTCTTTTGGTCATTACCCAAAGCTCATGACCATAGGTGAGGATTGGGACGTAGATCGACCAGTAAATTGAGAGCCTGGCTTTCTGGCTCAGCTCCGTCTTCACCCCGACAGATCGGCTCAGCGTCCGCATCACTGCAGATGCCGAACCAATCTGCCTGTCGATCTCCCGATCCCTCCTACCCTCACTCGTGAACAAGACCCCGAGATACTTAAACTCCTCCACTTGAGGTAGGACCTCTCTCCCGACCCGGAGTTTGCAAGCCACCCTTTTCCGGTCGAGAACCATGGTCTCAGATTTTGAGGTGCTGATCCTCATCCCAGCCACTTCACACTCGGCCGCGAACCTACCCAGCAAGAGCTGAAGGTCAGAGCTGGATGAAGCTAGGAGGACCACATCATCCACAAAAAGCAGAGATGAGATTCTCCTGCCACCAAACTCGACACACTCCACACCACGGCTGCGCCTAGAAATTCTGTCCATAAAGGTAATGTACAGAACAGGTGACATTTAAGTTCTTGGGAACTATCATTTCCAGGGATCTGAAGTGGGAAACAAACATCAACTCCATCCTCAAAAAGGCTCAGCAGAGGATGTATTTCTTACGGCAACTAAGGAAGTATGGCCTACCACAAGAGCTGCTGATCATCTTCCATACTGCTGCAGTCGAATCCATACTTTGCTCATCCATCACTGTCTGGTTTGGGTCAGCCACAAAAATGGAAAAATGCTGACTACAGCGTATTATTAAAACAGCAGGAAAAATCATTGGTGCCCAACTGCCCTCTGTCCAGGAACTGTACATCAGCAGGACCAGGAAAAAGGCAGTGAATATTGTCCAAGATGCCACACATCCTGCATCTACTCTCTTCCATCTCCTCCCATCTGACAGACGCTATAGATCACTCTCCTGAATCTGTAGATTCTTTTACCATCCTTTTATTATACTTTTTTTTATTCTTAGCCAGTATGTTTATGGATATGAGTGTGTGTGTGCGTGTGTGCGTGTGTGCGTGTGTGTGTGTACATATGTATATGTGTGTGTATGTGTATGCATATATGTATATATGTGTGTGTATGTGTATGCATATATGTATATGTGTGTGTGTGTGTGTGTGTGTGTGTGTAAATGTACATGTGTGTGGGTATACATGTTCTAATGTGTTTTTTATGTATTTTTTTCTCATTTATTGTAGTTGTTGTATGTTTTAGAGAGCGAACATCTACCAAAGCTAAATTCCTTGTAAATGTAATTTTACTTGGCCAATAAATCTGAAATCTGAATCTGAAAAAATCTGAAACGGCATCCCTGGCGGAGTCCATCCCTCACTGGGAACAGGTCCGAGTTACTACCGGCTGTGCGGACCAAACTCCCGCTCCTCTGGTAAAGGGACTGAGTGGCCCTTAACAGAAAGCCACCCACCCCATACTCCTGGAGCGTCCCCCACAGGGTGCCGCTGGGGACCCGGTCATAAGCCTTTTCCAAATCCACAAAGCACATGTGGATTGGTTGGGCAAACTCCCATGCCCCCTCCATCACCCTTGCAAGGGTATAGAGCTGGTCCACAGTTCCACAGCCAGGGCGAAAACCACATCGTTTCTCCTCAATCTGAGATTCAACTATCGATCGGACCCTCCTCTCTAGTACCTTGGAGTAGACCTTTCCAGGGAGGCTGAGTGTGATCCCCCTATAGTTGGAACACACCCTCAGGTCACCCTTCTTAAAGATGGGGACCACCACCCCGGTCTGCCACTCCACAGGGACTGCCCCCGATGACCACGCAATGTTGCAGAGACGTGTCAACCATGACAGCCCTACAACATCCATAGCCTTGAGATACCCAGGACGAATCTCATCCGCCCCCGGGGCTCCGCCGCTGTGTAGTTGTTTGACTACCTCAGCAACTTCTGCCCCCGAGATTGGACAGTCCATCCCCAGGTCTCCCGGCTCTGGTTCCTCCTTGGAATGTTCATAGGTGGGATTGAGAAGCTCCTCAAAGTATTCCTTCCACCGTCCAACTATAGCCCCAGTTGAGGTTAGCAGCTCCCCATCCCCACTGTAAACAGTGTGAGCGAGTTGCTGCCTTCCTCTCCTGAGGTGCCGGACAGTTTGCCAGAACCTCTTTGGAGCCGATCAATAGTCTTTCTCCTTGGCCTCACCAAACTCCTCCCACGCCCGAGATTTTGCCTTGGCAAATGCCACTGCTGCACTCCGCTTGTCTATCCGGTACCTGTCTGCTGCCTCTGGAGACCCACAGACCAGCCACACCCTGTAGGCCTCCTTCTTGCGCCTGATGGCTCCCTTAACCTCTGGTGTCCACCAGTGGGTACGGGGGTTGCCACCACGACTGACACCGGCCACCTTGCGACCACAGCTAGCAACAACCGCCTCAACAATCGCAGAGTGGAACAAGGCCCACTCGGAGTCGATGTCCCCCACTGCTCTCGGGATGCGGTCAAAGCTCTGCCGGAGGTGGGAGTTGAAAATTGTCTTGACAGGTTCTTCTGCCAGGCGTTCCCAGCAGACCCTCACTATGCGTTTGGGTCTGCCAGGTCTACGCGGGATCTTCCCCTGCCATCTGATCCAACTCACCACCAGGTGGTGATCAGTTGACAGCTCCGCTCCTCTCTTCACTCGGGTATCCAAAACATACGGCCGCAGGTCAGATGATACGACTACAAAGTCTATCATCGACCTGCGACCTAGGCTGCCCTGGTACCAAGTGTACCGATGGGCATCTTTATGTTCGAACATGGTGTTCGTTATGGCCAAACTGCGGCTTGCACAGAAGTCCAATAACGTAACACCACTCGAGTTCAGATCAGGCGGGCCGTTCCTCCCAATCACACCCCTCCAGGTCAAGCTGTCATTGCCCACGTGAGCATTGAAGTCCCCCAGCAGGACAATGGAGTCCCCTGATGAGCACTGTCTAGCACTCGTCCCAGGGACTCCAAAAAGGGTGGGTACTCTGAACTGATATTTGGCCCATAAGCACAAAAAACAGTCAGGACCCGTTCCCCGACCCAAAGGCACAGGGAAGCTACCCTCTCATCCCCCGGGGTAAACCCCAACACACAGGCAGAGAGTCTTGGGGCTAACAAAAAGCCAACCCCAGCCCTCCGCTTCTCACCCGGAGCAACTCCAGCAAAGGAGAGTCTCCAACCCCTCTCAAGGATTTGGGTTTCAGATCCAATGCTATGTGTCGAGGTGAGTCCGACTATATCTAGCCGGTACCACTCAACTCTGCCACAAGCTCCTGCTCCTTCCCCGCCAGCGAGGTGACGTTCCATGTCCCAAAAAACAGTTTCCTTGTCCGGGGATTTGACCGCCAAGGCTCCCGCCTCGGTCTGCCACCCGATGTCTTAGGTGATTTTCTTTTGTGCTCTTTTAAAAATTTCTGTTGTTGTGATGGACACTTAAATGTAAAACATTATGCAAGGAAACATAGAAACTTCTTATGTGGACATTTAATGGCTTATTTTGTGTTTCAAAATCTTGAGGTTTTTTATTTGCCATCTGTATTAATACTTGCACAGAACAGTTCTTCAGCAGGTCATTAAACCTTTCAAAGTGCCATCAGAGTTGCGTATGTATCTATAAATTATCCCCCACAGAGTGTGTGTAGTGTCTGATGACCAAGTCTCATTAGCTGCTGCAGTTACCATGACAACATACCTGTCCTCCCATAATGAGCCCTGAGGTTCTGAGTTCACCTGTCCTATCCTGAACCCTTCAAGGCAGCTCGAGAGAGCTGGAGAGGAAGAATCAGGTGCCGATAACATTAATAAAAAAAAATTAAAAAAAATAAAAACAGTCTTGACAACAGTAATTTAGGATCCATATGTGTTTTAACACTTAATGTGTTGTCACTTAGATGAAACCCTTTTCTTCATAATTATTTACCCCACCTAGTGGCTGGCTGCAGTACAAGCTTTCCATTTAAACAAAAAATATGTTTTAGTTAAATAAAAAAATACAACAAGTAATGATAAGAAATTGGACTAAATGTGTCTTAAATTAAACAGAAGTAAATTTTTATTACTTTACTGCCTAAAACATGCCCATGTAAAACCGTACAAAAACAACTATATTTATACAAATAAATTCAAATTGTTTTGACTAATAGGAATCAAAAGTTGTGACTATTAGTTGCCACTGGGTTACTTAA